AGGGAAAAGAAAAATAGAAATGGGATCAGATTCTGAGTCTTTGAATTATTTAGAATATTAAAATTATGGTGATACTTAAGAAAGACTTTCCTTTTATAAGGAAAGGAAATTACTGAGGGCATCACCTACTTACCTAAATTACCTTTATCCTAATATTTCTGAAGTATATGTGCAAATTAAAAATGAAGATCACCTTTGTATATTTGTAGCTCTTAAGCAACTATTAAGTCAAATCAAATTCTAAGTAAATACAGTAAAAATATAAAACCAAAAACAAAAAAAGGACCACCACGATGAGATAATAACAATAACGTGATAGTGTGTACTTTGCTGAAAATAAATCGCACATGGTGAGCTGGTTCTGGGTACTGCAGTGCTTCTTTTGAGGTTGCCGTGTCTGCAGAAACATTTGCCATTTCTTTTTGTTTTAGAAAAATCTTTTTACAGTACACAATGATACAATTTAACCTTCATTTATATCCCTACATCTTTTGCATTTTACATCCCCTTTTTGCTTTTTATTAGCCTGAGAATATGGTAGTGTATTATTATCCTATAGTGTACTGTTTTTCTAATACCAAATTTTTTCAGCTTATAAAATAACTTGAGAAATTGAAGACTTATTTTATGAAAATGCTTTTCAATTTTGAATTATTTACTGCAAAAGACATGCCAAATTGTAGCAGTACATTTGTACCTCCACAGTATAAGCTGAATGCTGTCATTTGAGGTGATCACTTAATGTAATTGCAATAATAAACGTAAATGGGGATGTGGGAATACTTTTCCATATAAGCAACAGAAATACTGGCAAATTTATTAAAATGAACCAACACTCTGGTTATGGAAGCCTTGAAAACCAGCAGCCTTGTTGCCGCCACTGGGGTAAATATAGCTTTGGAGCTTCTCAAAAATCCCCATTTCCAGATCATTGTCACTATTTGACCTGACTTAACAGCTCACTGGAAAAGCTCCTTTCGCAGGAGTTGTTTCTGTTTGACCTGATTCAGAGTCTCCTTGGGAAAGACCTATGCCCAGGGTATTGTTGAAAACAATGGGATGCAGTATCACAACTGTCCAAGGCTGTGATACCAGCTGGGGCAGACGGGAGCCCAGTCAGAAATCAGAATTGAAAGCATGCCCTGACACCCAGACATCCTCTTGGCCACGGGGGAAAGTCACACTGACTCAAACCATTTAAGGAAGCCTTGCGACTACCAGATGACGCTGACCCAGTAGCAGCCTTTACGCAGCTGGGTTTAAAACAAAACAGAACAAAACAAAACTGATCAGAGAATTCAGTGGTTCCATACAGCAGGGATTACAGACTCTACAGAATTAGTTCTACAAAAGTCACTAAACAAATAAGTGGCAACACCATCACCAACTGAAAGACTGGCCCCAACAAACCAGGAGAAAGAGGTAGGAGCTGATTTCTGGAGTTGTCACATTTTATTATCTGAAATGTCTATAGTTTTTAACAAAAAAAATTATGAGATGTGGAAAGAAGCAGGAAAAATTCAGTCCACAGAAACTGTCCCAGATGTTGAGCTTACTCGATAGAGATTTTAAGTCAGCTTTTAAAAATAATACTCAATGAATTCAACTATAAGGAATTAAGAAAAATACGACACATATATCTTACCAAATAGAGTACTAAAAAATAGGAATAAGAAAAAACAAATAGGAACTCTGTGGTTGAAAAGTATAACTAAAATGAAAAAAAAAATCATTGGAGGAGCTCATGAGCAAATTTGAGCTGGCAAGAGAATCAGTGAACTTGGAGACAGTTCAGTAGTAATTATTCAGTCTAAGTAATAGAAAAAGGAATGAAGAAAAATGAATTAGAGCCTCAGAAACCTATAAGACACTGTTAAACATACCAGCATGTACACTACTGACTCCCGGAAGATAAGGTGAGGGGGGAAGGGCTAAAAACATATTTGAAGAAATAATGGCCCAAACCTTCCCAAATTGGAAGAAAAACATTAGTTTACACATCCAAGAAGCTCAGTGAACTCAAAGTAGTATAAACAAACTGGAAAA